CAGTTTAAAATTTTGCATATTACCTATTTTACACCGGCCAGACTACATAGAATATTTCCTGAAAAGGTATCCAATTGCTGTGCTGTGGTGCGGCCTCAGTGGATTTCTTCCATATATTTTGATACTGTCCCCACATCTCCACTTTTTGGATGGAGATCTTAAGAGTTCATCTACTCCCTAACTACCACAACCATTCCTCGGATGGTAGACATGTATCTCTTAGGTCTGGTCAATCCTTTGGAGCATACCAGAGCTGTTAGGATGCTCCTTGGTCTACTACTCTTCTATGCCAAAAAGGCCATTGTTTTAAAGTGGAAGGCAGCTCAGTCCTCCGCCTTAAATTATTGGAAAGCAGTGGTCAATTCTGTGGTATTATTCTACAAGCTGACATATTTCCAGGGGATGTCCTCTAAAATTTAACAAAATTTGGGATGTGTGGTTGGAATCCTTCTCCATGGTCGCGGCTGATATAGGATGGATGGAGATGCCCTATATAATATTGCCCTTTTAATGTTCTACTGTTTTCATGACCTTGATTAAGATCCTCCAGGTCTTCTGACCAACCCCAGAGAGTCGAATAACCTCCCCCTATAGGTCCTGTTTCTTCTATAACTGCCGAGACCTTCTTTCATCGGTATGTACTGTTCTTTGAGATTAATGGCTAGCTGAAGTGAGTGAGCCATTTTTATGTTTTGTTGTTATGTTTTTTGTATATATCAAGTGAGCCGAAGAGTGCCCAGAAGCTCTGTTTTGTAAAAGATCACTGGCTTTACAGTCTAAATCCTTCCGCACCTTGGAATCTGCTTGGAAACCGTGGGCTTTATGGTGCATCTGCCTTGGATCCTAGGAAATTCTAAGAACTTCAAATAATGTATATGCCTTACTATTATAGTGGGGCAAAAAAGTATTTAGTCAGCCACCAATTGTGCAAGTTCTCCCACTTAAAAAGATGAGAGAGGCCTGTAATTGGCATCATAGGTAGACCTCAACTATGAGAGACAAAATGAAAAAACAAATCCAGACAATCACATTGGCTGAATTTATTTGCAAATTATGGTGGAAAATAAGTATTTGGTGAATATGAAAAGTTCATCTCAATACTTTGTTATATATCCTTTGTTGGCAATGACAGAGGTCAGACGTTTCCTGTAAGTCTTCACAAGGTTGGCACACACTGTTGCTGGTATGTTGGCCCATCCCCCATGCAGATCTCCTCTAGAGCAGTGATGTTTTGGGAATGTCGCTGGGCAACACGGACTTTCAACTCCCTCCAAAGGTTTTTGTTTCTGGTGTCCTTCGACAGCTCTTTGGTCTTCACCATAGTGGAGTTTGCAGTGTGAGTGTTTGAGGTTGTGGACAGGTGTCTTTTATACTGATAACAAGTTCAAACAGGTGCCATTGATACAGGTAATGAGTGCAGGACAGAGGAGCCTCTTAAAGAAGAAGGTACAGGTCTGTGAGAGCCAGAAATCTTGCTTGTTTGTAGGTGACCAAATACTTATTTTCCACCATAATTTGCAAATACATTCTTTCCAAATCAGCCAATGTGATTGTCTGGATTTGTTTTCTCATTTTGTCTCTCATAGTTGAGGTCTACCTATGATGCCAATTACAGGCCTCTCTCATCTTTGTAAGTGGGAGAACTTGCACAATTGGTGGCTGACTAAATACTTTTTTTGCCCCACTGTACTGGATTGCATTTCTAATGTTGATCTTTAAAACAGTGCCTTGTATTGATCATTGTTCTTTTATTATTGATCTTTGTATTGTGTCTATCACAGAGTGTTATTATTTTAAAAACATGATCACTTCTTGTATGATATTATTCCTCACTACTCTTACTGAGTTGAGCAGCTGCCCCCAGGATCTTGTCTATACTTGTTTATATTGCAAAACCAAATAGAAATATTGATTTAAAACAAATATATCACCCAAACTGTCCTCTCCGCTCCTCCCAAGACCTCCTGCATCTCCAGGACTTCTCCAGAGCCTCTCCCATCCTCTGGAACTCTCTACTCTCTAATCTGTCTAGCTATCTCCTTCTCTGGTGAGGCCAGAAATCTGCTTCATAATTAGATATGATATGGATCCTTCTTCATCTCATTCTTGAAAACGGAAATCTATTGACAAACATGAGGATTCAATATTTTACAGCCATGGCCAGTGATAGAAACTGCAAATACCAAATTACAATGCTCAGGCAAACTTTCCTCAACCAACCTACAATGGTGGAATCATTAGTCACAAAGGCTAGAAGTACCCTTCTGGAACATTCTGAAGAACAAGTGTGTTTTCAGACTTTCCAAACTGATGCTCCATGGACCCTCTGCCATGTACAGTGCATCCAGAAAGTATTCCCAGCGCTTAACTTTTGCCACATTTTGTTATGTTACAGCCTTATTCCAAAATGGATTCAATTCATGTTTTCCCTCCACATTCTACAAACAATACCCCATAATGACAACGTGAAAGAAGTTCGTTTTGAAATCTTTGCAATTTATTAAAAATAACCCCCCCCATGTACATAAGTATTCTCAGCCTTTGCTCAATCCTTTGTTGAAGCCCCTTTAGCACCAATTACATCCTCAAGTCATTTTGAGGATGATGCTACAAGCTTGGCACACCTATTTTTGGGCAATTTCTCCCATTCTTCTTTGCAGGACCTCTCAAGCTCCATCAGGTTGGATGGGGAGCGTCGGTGCACAGCCATTTTCAGATCTCTCCAGAGATGTTCAGTCAGGTTCAAGTCTGGGCTCTGGCTGGGCCACTCCGGGACATTCACAGAGTTGGCCTGTAGCCACTCCTTTGTTATGTGGGCTGTGTGCTTAGGGTCGTTGTCCTGCTGAAAGATGAACCGTCACCTCAGTCTAAGGTCCAGAGCGCTCTGAAACAGGTTTTCATCAAGGATGTCTCTGTACATTGCTGCATTCATCTTTCCTTCAATCCTGACTAGTCTCCCAGTTCCTGCAGCTGAAAAACATCCCCACATCATGATGCTGCCACCACCATGCTTCACTGTAGGGATGGTATTAGCCAGGTGGTGAGCAGTGCCTGGTTTCCTCCAGACATAACAGTTGGCATTCAGGCCAGAGTTCAATCATTGATTCATCATGAGAGTCCCTCAGGTGCCTTTTGGCAAACTCTAGGCGGGCTGCCATTTGCCTTTTACTGAGGAATGGCTTCCGTCTGGCCACTCTACCATACAGGCCTGATTGGTTGAGTGCTGCAAAGATGTTTTTATTCTGGAAGTTTCTCTTCTCTCCGCAGAGAATTGCTGGAGCTCTTCCAGAGTGACCATCGGGTGCTTGGTTACCTCCCTGGCTAAGGCCCTTCTCTCTCGATCACTCATTTTGGCCGGGTGGCCCGCTCTAGGAAGATTCCTGGTGGTTCCAAACTTCTTTCATTTACAGATGATGGAGGCCACTGTGCTCATTGGGACCTTCAATGCTGCGGAAATGTTTCTGTACCCCTCCCCAGATCTGTGTCTTGATACAATCCTGTCTCGGAGGTCTACGGACAATTCCTTGGACTTCATGGCTTGGTTTGTGGTCTGACATGCACTGTTACCTGTGGGACCTTCTATAGACAGGTTTATGCCTTTCCTAATCATGTCCAATCAACTGAATGTCCCACAGGTGGACTCCAATCAAGTTGTGGAAACATCTCAAGGATGATCAGTGGGAACAGGATGCTCCACAGCTCAATTTTGAGTGCCATGGCAAAGGCTGGGAATACTTATGTACATGGGTTTTTTTTTTTAATTTTTTTTATAAATTGCAAAGATTTCAAAACAAACTTCTTTCTCGTTATCATTATGGGGTATTGTTTTTAGAATGTTGAAGAAAAAAATGAATTGAATCCATTTTGGAAGAAGGCTGTAACATAACAAAATGTGGCAAAAGTTAAGCGCTGGGAATACTTTCTGGATGCAATGTATGTTGGGCCTGTTATCCCACCTACGAGCCTGGCATCTGCATGGTGGGTGCCACTGGGTAGAGGGGAGAGACTAGAGAACATCCGCTCACTGATCACCCCTAGCTAGAATGAACCCACAAGTGATGTGTATTAGGTCCCTTTAGGGGTCAGTGCCATCATTCCTAACCGCTGTGGTCAGAGAAGCTGTGAATGGAGCTCAATCTGCTCTCCATTGTCTTCAGTGGAAGGCAGGAGACTCATGAGGGGTCTGATAGGCACCATAGAGGGCAGGAGACTCATGAGGGGTCTGATAGACACCATGGAGGGCAGGAGACACACGAGGGGTCCGACAGACACCATGGACGGCAGGAGACACATGAGGGGTCTGATAGACACCATGGAGGGCAGGAGACACACGAGGGGTCTGATAGACATCATGAAGGGCAGGAGACACATGAGAGGTCTGATAGACTCCTGATGTCTCATTACAGAGAACCCGTCACAACAAAATTCTATTACAGAGGGGCTATTGGTCCCGTTTATGATGGCAATAAAGCTAAGTGAAAAATTAAAGATACACCCAAGCAATAAAACCCCCAAATTTCTGAGTCCCCACATACAGAAACATGAAGATTTCCTGGGCACTTATGTATACAATCATGGATTGCACCACACATATTACATATTACAGAGCAATCACTCTCCATCCATTGTTCAGGGTTACCTCTACAATGAGGACCGGGAAAGGCACTTATGTCACCTATGGGCATTATTGAGGACCAAAGTTTCACTTCAAGTCATCATTTCATCAGCACACAATTTTAAGGCTGGACATGTTGGGTATCTATTTACTCGGCACAACCTCACCCATTGTCTTTGGTGACCTCTGATCTCCTTATGAACTGTTTCTTCCATGATGAAGATCAGCCATGGAGTATATCTGAGGTGTATATCAGGGTGTGCTTCTTCCCCACATGAGAGCTGGGATGTCCAGCAACATTCATCTAGAAGACATTTCCCGCACTCAAGGCACTAATACACCTCCAGGGTTGTGTGGGACCCCTGATGTACAGGAAGACAGGACTTCAGTGAGGAACATTTCCCTCATCAGGACAGGAAAGTGGCTTCTCCCCCCGTGTGAGATCTCTGATGTCTGTAAAGAGTGGACTTCTGTGAAAAACATTTTCCGCACTCAGGACAGGAAAATGGCTTCTCCCTGTGTGAGACCTCTCTGATGTCTTGACAAGATCTGGACTTTTTTGAAAAAAACATTTCCCACACTCAGGACAGGAAAGAAGTTCTCCCCCGTGTGAAATCTCTGATGTTTGTAAAGAGTGGACTTGTCTGAAAAACATTTCCACACTCAGGACAGGAATACGGCTTTTCCCCCGTGTGAGAGATCTCTGATGTGTGTAAAGACTGGACTTCACTGAAAAACATTTCCCGCACTCAGGACAGGTAATATGGCTTTTCCCCAGTGTGAGATCTTTGATGTGTGAAAGGTTTGAAAAACATTTTCCCGCACTCAGAACAGGAATACGGCTTCTCCCCCGTGTGAGATCTCTGATGTCTGTAAAGAGTGGACTTCTGTGAAAAACATTTCCCGCACTCAGGACAGGAATATGGCTTCTCCCCTGTGTGAGATCTCTGATGTCTGTAAAGATGGACTTCTGTGAAAAACATTTCCCGCACTCAGGACAGGAATACGGCTCTCCCCCGTGAGATCTCTGATGTTGGACTTCACTGAAAAACATTAAAGACTGGACTTCTGAAAAACATTTCCCGCACTCAGGACAGGAATACAACTTCTCCCCTGTGTGAGATCTCTGATGTGTGTAAAGATGGACTTCTGTGAAAAACATTTCCCACACTCAGGACAGGAATACGGCTTTTTTCCCTGTGAGATCTCAGATGTGTGTACAAGATTTGGTTTGTTTACAAAAAATTTCCCACACTCAGGACAGGAATACGGCTTCTCCCCCGTGTGAATTTCTGATGTCTGTGAAGATTGGACTTCTTGAAAAACATTTCCCGCACTCAGAACAGGAATATGGCTTCTCCCCTGTGTGAGATCTCTGATGTTTGAAAGATGGACTTATGTGAAAAACATTTCCCGCACTCAGGACAGGAATACGGCTTCTCCCCCGTGTGAGATCTTTTATGCACGTTAAGATTGGATTTAGAATGGAAACCTTTCCCGCACTCAGTACAGGAGAACTCTTCTCTGTTGGAAGGCCGGCCCGGTCCCGCACAGTCTGAGGTTCCTCAGGATACGAGGAATCCGATGGTCCATCTACACTGGGTGGTGCCGGATGGACATTGGAGGGAGCCGGGTTTTCTCCTGGACTATACTGTGTGATGTCCTCATCTTCTACTTTCCAGTCTGGAGACAAAGTGAGACAATCCTCGGAGGTTTTCCTCATCTCCCGGCCATGGACTAAAATACAAAGACAAAGAGGATTACTAGACAGGAGCTGATTGGTTCCCCCAAACCAGGACTCCGCCCACATCAGGCAGCTTGGTCTCTGAGGAGCTTACAATTCCACCCTCAAGGGAACTAGGAAATGGCTCCTCTGATCTCCTACCAGGTCATTTCTTTATTCATGGACCTTAGTCAGAGAGTGAGGAAACAACCAGAACTGTCTTTTATAGGAGGGACAGTGATGAGGGGATTATAGGACGAGGGTCCCCACCCCCTCTATCACTCATCATCCATCATCTTCCCAACACAAGAAGTACTGCACTTCCTTATTTAGTCCATGATTTAGTCATGAAGAACAGCGGGGCTGAGCCCCACCAGAGGTCAGAGAGTGAGGATGGGGGGGGGGAGAACAACCAAGATGAAGACTGGACTGATCCTGAAGACCACCATCATTGGGGTATTGACTCCTCCCTCATTATCACTTTCTGTTTAAGGGTCCAAAGTTGGAGGATGTTATCACATTATTATCACCATGTAAAAGTCTGTGCTCCAATCACATCATCCGATATAAAATGTCCAGCTGGGAGGAAATGGGTGTAACAAAAGAGAATCCATATTATGTGTATATATAGCAGTGGGGGGAGGGAGGGGGGAGAGAGGTCAGGACTATGGAAATGTACAACATTATTATAGTGCAGGGGTATACCAGTTAGGACTATAAAGTATCAGGGTTATACAATGTACAACATAGAGTATATAGTGCAGGGGTCAGGAGTATGTAATGTACAACATAGAGTATATAGTGCAGGGGTCAGGAGTATGTAATGTACACATAGAGTATATAGTGCAGGGGTCAGGAGTATGTAATGTACAACATAGAGTATATAGTGCAGGTCAGGAAGTATGTAATAGAGTATATATATAGTGCAGGGGTCAGGAGTATGTAATGTACAACATAGAGTATATAGTGCAGGGGTCAGGAGTATGTAATGTACAACATAGAGTATATAGTGCAGGGGTCAGGAGTATGTAATGTACAACATAGAGTATATAGTGCAGGGGTCAGGAGTATGTAATGTACAACATAGAGTATATAGTGCAGGGGTCAGGAGTATGTAATGTACAACATACAGTATATAGTGCAGGGGTCAGGATGTATGTAAATATACAATATAACTTATACAGTGTAAGGGTCAGGACTCATAATATTGGTATTCAGTAATCAGTGGAAGATTAAATGTTTACTGTAGACAAGTTGCAGAGGTCCCACACCGCTGCCTCCCATCTCCTGAGACTGCACTCAGTGACTTGGGTCTGAGACATACAGACATATCCCTCCACCCGGCACAGCCAGCAGACAACAACAACAAGTAATCCTGGGAGAATTGTTCTGTCAGAGATCTCACTAGGCTCAGGCATGGGGAAGGTACCTCATGCCCCCCCAGGTGCCTAGGTCATAGAGTCAACGCCTATGGTGAAGTGAACATGTTGCTCACAGCCTGAACCCCAGAATCTACATTAACCAGTCACCCTATAGAAGATACACTGTGTCTGTCAGGGCAGCCCTCCTGAGCAAGAATTCCATATATAAATGTGGGGAACTGCATTCCCTCCTGACCAGGGGCACACATGTGCAGCTGATATCATCCAGCTTCAGCTGTAATTATTCACAGACCAATCATCTGAGCAGTATGTGGGGAGGTGGGTATTTGCCGAAACCTGCAGATTTATCATGCAGAGACACAGAATGAAGCTCTGCCTATGTAAACAAAGCAGAGCTCCTTTCTGACAGGGGAGAAGTGGTGGATCTTGAAGGGATCCCTGCAAAGCAGGGGTAATATCTATCAAAGCTTCTCCTTAGTAAAAGGAGGGGATGGACTGTACAGAAATAAAGAAAACACATAGCTAGGCACACAGTTAACCCTCTGATTTGTGACATCAAGATTTTTAACCTCTTCCCAGCCAGTGTCAGTTAGTACAGTGCCAGTGCATATTTTTAGCACTTATCACTGTATCAGTGTCACTGGTTCCCACAAAGTATCAGTTAGTGTAAAAATGTCCATTGCAATATCGCAGTCCCGCTATAAGACGCTGATCATTGCCAATAGTATTACTTTTGCGCAAACCAATCAATATATGCTTTTCGGGATTTTATTTACCAAAATATACAGTGAAGGAAATGCGTATTTGCTCAGTTGAAATGTGATGTTGAATGTTTGCCCCTCACAAAGAAATGATCGGTCTAAAAATCGAATGTTCGGTGTATTGTAACACTGAGAGACAGAATAGCAACAACAAATTCAGCAGAAATGCGTCTAACAAATGATGACTGATCTGCATGTTCATGAGGGCAATAAGGATTTGATCCCCTGTCATTCAAGCAGGATTTCTGGCTCCCAGGTGTCTTTCATACAGAAAGCTGAGATTAGAAGCAGTCTCTTAAAGGGAGTGCTGCTAATCTCATTTTGTTACCTGTATAAAAGATACCTGTCCACAGGAGCAATCAAACCATCAGATTCCAAACTCTCCACCATGGCAAAGACCCCAGAGCTGTCCAAGGATGTCAGGGACAAGATTGTAGACCTACACAAGGCATGTGGACTGGGCTACCAAACTATGGCCAAGCAGCTTGGTGAGAGGATGACAACATGTAAAGTGCAATCATTCACAAATGGAAGAAACACAAAACAACTGTCAGTCTCCCTAGGTCTGGTGCACCATGCAAGATCTCACCTCGTGGAGTGTCAATGATCATGAGAACAGTGATGTGAATCATCCCAGAACTACACGTGAGGATCTTGTCAGTGATCTCCAGGCAGCTGGGACCAAGTCACTGATCAGGGAGGATTGTAACACACTACGCCGACAAACATGACTGAAGGTTCCTGCAGTGCCCGCAAAGGTCCCTCTGCTGAAGACTGTAAGTGAAGCAGATCAGATGCATCATAGGTAGGTAAGCACATCCAGGCCAGGGCCCGTCTGAAGTTTGCCACTGAACATCTGAATGATGCAGAGGAGAACTGGTTGAAAGTGTTGTGGTCAGATGAGACCAAAATCCAGCTCTTTGGCATCAACTCAACTCACCGTGTTTTGGAGGAAGCTGCTTATGACCCCAACAGAACACCATCCCAACTGTGAAACATGGTGGTGGAAACATTCACTTTTGGGGGTTTTTTTCTGGAAGGGGACAGGACAACTGCACCGCATCAAAGGGACATGTTATTGGTGACATGTACCATCAAATTTGTATGGGTGAGAACCTTCTTTGTATTGGTGAGTCACCAGGGCATTGAAAATGGGTCGTGGATGGATGTTCCAGCATGACAATGACCCATCTGACCCAACATGTGACAGCCAGGCAGGACAGGACATGACATGGAGTCTCAAGAAGAAGCACATTAAGGTCCTGGGTACAGTGTTGCATGACGGAGCAATTGTTTAAAGTAAGCAGTACTGGGTGCAAAAGGCCTGGTCAGGAAGGTGGAAATGAACATTTTTTTTGCCAGCTGAAATCGTCAGAGGTCAAGTGGTTAATCCAGTCTAGATACATAAATTGTGTCTGCAGCACAGAGAAGGAAGATTATCCGAGAGAAATCCAGGAATACAGGACGGGGGAACACAGCTCAGGAAAGTGACCAGGGGATTACAGGCTGATATCACCCAGTCCCCGCCCTACTCTGGACCAATCAGTGAGCAGTATGGGTGGAGGAATGGATTTTAGTGTTCATGACCCACCTGTGCTGATCTCTGTCTGGAGTGTCCTCCTCTATAAATGTCCCCGTTATTTCCATCCTCCTCCATAGACTGCTGATCATCCCTCACATACGCCTCTTCTTCTTCTGATTTCACCTCAACTTTTATATCTATCAGATCTTCACCCTAAACCAAGAAAATTAGAGAAATAAATCACCTGTAAAATATAAGCACACATAAAACAATCCATCACATCATCTCCTCATGAGTCCCATGTTCTAGATCAGGGGTCTCCAAACTTTCTAAACAAAGAGCTAGTTTACTGTGTACTGGGAATGAAATTGTCCTGGTGTCAGTGGGAGTAAACAATGCATCTTTGGTATTAGGAGTGGAAAGTAGCCCCATTCTGATGTCAATAACATCAGGAATTGTGCCCCATTGTTGGGATACGGAGGAAAAGTGCCTCAAGGATTGGAGACAAAGGCAAGCAAAGGGCTGCAGTTTGGAGTCCATGTTCTAGATTCTCCATCCCACCAACCTTGTAATGGTGAGGGATGGTGTGACCTTCCTGTGTGGAATCCCGGGAATACAGAGGACGGGGACATCTCTCTGGGGGGTTCCTGGTATTAGGTGGCTCCATCATATCCTTGTGTCCTTCTGAAAACTCCTCCATCACTCCATACTCCTCATCCTCCTCTTTATACTCTTCTTTAACATCAATATTATCATCCCCGAGGATTCCACTCTGAAAGATATAATAAAAATGACATTCAATTGTAACAATGCAGATGTGTATAGATCAATGATACTATCAGTGATTGTTCATGTGGGCATCATCTACCTGATGATGGTGAGGGATGGTGTGACCTTCCTGTGTGGAATCCCGGGAATACAGAGGACGGGGACATCTCTCTGGTGGGTTCCCATGACTGGATCCATCTGTAGGAAACACACACACTGACTGAATCCATTGTTTCTATGTGTTTATCAGATGATGGGGGATCTAGGTGGATCCTCCGTACTGCTCTCTCCTTTACAATAAAGTCTCCTCTTACCCGGTGATGTGAGGGGCGGCTGATTGTCCATCATGACGTCCTTGTAGAGATCC